CTATTGGCCAGTTCTAAATTATTCCTACGTGGCGTTTAGTAATTGGCTTGCTAGCCGTTTAAAATTTCGTGCGACTTCCGCCCAAGTCGGAGAACTTTGAGCAGGCTGCAGAGTGCCTCTAAAGAGATCTGACTTGCGGCTGAGCTGATCGATAGACTGATCACCTATCGATTCTTCTCCCCGTCGCCGAGCGCAATCCTCGACGTACCCTTTCCCTGCCGGCTTAATTTGTGGACGGATTAGCTGGCCTGAGCCTTGCCAGCTGGAGCAACTCACATAGTTGTTCAAGCGACTGGACCACCTGCGTTGCGGCTACAAGCGGCGTAAGTAAAGTTTTTGCAACCAATAAGCTGTGTCTGCTTCTCCATTCACCAGCCCGCCCAAACGACCGAGTGATATTTGAATCATCTCGAGTCGGCTCCGGCTGTCCGAGACAAGTACAAGGTTGGCCGAGGCAAAAACAGAAAGTCTCAGGCTCTACTCTATCGCTGTGCATGGAAGTGGAAATCACTCCACTGCAGAAAGCCAGCTCTCAGCCTATAGTCACACAAACCCTTTTCAGCATAACTGAGAAAAACTCATAATACTGTTAACTACCTCTCTCTCTCTCTGCCAAATGTTAAACAAAAACTGCAGTTTGGAGGTGACCAAAACTATTCATAAATTTGTTTTGAATTCAAGTAATGGTTTTGGCTGAGAAAAGGGGGGAAATTCAGTAAAAAATGTAAAAATGAGACATGTAAAGAGCTATTGTGGTATTTCATTGCAAACTTACATTTTTCTTTCCATATCAACCTAAACAAAGTTTAAAAAAAGGAAAAAAAAAAGCACGAAATAATGGCTAAATGACAGTTTTTATTTCAAATCTGTGAAACGGTCAGTCTGAAATAAATTTTCCCCAGTGTTTTGCTCTGGCAACTGAAGCGAGAAAATCTATTGTTCTTGCATCTGACAGGAATAAATGTCACATGCAGGATCTGCCCCGAGTTTCCTGCTTCTCTTTTAGCTTAACTGGCTGGCACAATATTGACATGGCAGTAAAGGGCAGGGTAGACACCTGGCAAACATGTTTTTGGAGAATGCAGACTGTGCAGCCTGTTCCTGGCTGAACTCAAATGTTCGTGGCAGACATTTGCCCTGGAACAAACCTCTGCAGAGTGTCCAGATCATTGTTTCCAACTCTGGGAATCACTGGCCAGCATGAACCACAGCGAGGATGAAGCCTCTAGCCCAGACACAAGTGTGTAAAGACAAAACCTGGCTGCAGCAGGAGGTTCTGCACCCCCAGCCTGTGGGCTTGAGCCAGTGCCTCAGCTTCCTCCTGCCCTGCAGCAGCCGTGGGTGGGGGATCAGGGTCAGACACAAGCAATGCAGTATGGCCTCAGGCTTTGCTTTTTTCCCCTCAGGTGCCCAGCTTCCCTCTCCAAGACCCTTGGGCATGTAGGGCTCACCACAGCTATGCAAAGTGGCTCCTCAGGGAAGCCTGGCACTGAAGCTGATGCTGTGGGAGCTCCCTGCCACCTTATCCTGGCCCCTCAGCACTGTCCAGCCAGGGGCAATACCCCCGTACCTCACAGGGCCTCAGCCCAGTCCCTGAGGCCTGCGGGGTGGAGGCCAGGTCCAAGGAACGCTGCAGGGCTTGCCTTTGTGCCCAGACATCCCACCCCACAGTCACAGCCATCGGGGTGGGCGCTCAGCAGCGCTGCTCACTGGGGCCAGCGGGCAGCAGGTCACAACGGCCGCTGTAGACCACCACGCCAGGCGGGTAGTAGAGCAGCTCAGATGGGGTGGTGGGAGGCAGCGGAGCAGCAGCAGCAGGCAGGGGCACCAGGGCAGGTAGGGCCTGCTCGTCGGGCTCGGGCTTGGTGCTGAGGGTGAAGGGGCGCATGGAGGTGAGCGAGGGCGAGGCGAGGCGCCACAGCAGGCTCTTGAGGGCCTGGCGAAACTCGCGCCGCATGAGGCAGTAGAGCACGGGGTTGAGGCAGCTGTTGCAGTGTGCCAGGCACACGCTGACGGGGAAGAGGTAGGCCTGCGACAGGAAGTAGGCAGGCCCGAAGGGCACGGCGTTCAGCTTGACCAGGACGCCCCAGGCCGTGAGCGCCTGGTTGGGCAGCCAGCACACGAAGAAGCTGAGCACCACCACGCTCACCGAGCGCGTCACCTTGGCTGAGCGGCGCTGGCTCGCGTGGCGGCCGCGGAGGAAGAGCACCAGGCGCGCGTAGCACAGGCTGATCACGCCCAGAGGCACCACAAAGCCCAGCAGCACCTTCTGCACCTGGTAGAGCCCCAGCCAGAGCTGCACGCGCGCGCTGGGGCTGTCGGGGAAGCGCAGCAGGCAGAGCTCCTCGCCAAAGACGTTGGCAGTGGTGGAGAAAATGGCATGGGGCAGCGCGGCCACCACGGCCAGAGCCCAGATGAGGGCACAGAGCCCCCCCCGCCCCCAGCCACAGCCGCCCCTGGGCTGGCTCTTGAGCACCGATGCCACAGCGCGGTAGCGGGCCACGCTCATGGCGGTGAGGAAGAAGACGCTGGCGTACATGTTCATGGCCGTCACATATGACACCACCTTGCACATGACGCGCCCGAAGAGCCAGGTGAAGTCCAGCGCGTTCTCCACGGCCCAGAAGGGCAGCGTCAGCACGAACTGCAGGTCGGTGGCGGCCAGGCTGGTGACGAAGAGGTTCATGGAGGACTTGCGCCAGCCCCGCTTGCCGCGCATCAGGTGCAGCACCAGCGCGTTGCCCACCAGCCCCAGCGCGCACACCACGGAGTACACGGCCGACACGGCCAGGCGCACGGCGGCCGAGCC